CATCGATTTTTAAAATAATCGTTAGTTGCAGCCCTACTCTATACATTCCTTCACCACATACAGCAAATCCTTAGTAAAATCTAATGCTTCATTCGATGATATACAGCAGCATTGGACAAGCATAGAAATAGTTAATGCATCCTGTCACTCTCACACACAACTGTATTTGTTATTATCTCTTGTATAACTACGTCTGGGCATTCTGCTACCACAAAACTAAATTCCATGTTCACGGAGGGAAGTCTGTCTGATGCACGAGTGCTTTCATCCACTCGTGCTGGAAAACCCTCACTCAGGGAAATGTTGGGTGACAGACCGTAAACCCACTGTTGTCTCCAAAGTGGCAGCATTAACTGTGTACCCCTTCACTTCAAAAATAGAGGTTTTTCTCCTTTGGCTAGCTTTTCAGTATGTGTTTTAATACATCAGTTTTATTACTCAACACCTTCTGCTTTTCAATTATTACCTTAAGTCGTTAATGCATCATAGAAATGTTCTGACTTATCCCATAATAAAATTATAAAATTTACATTGTTTTATTTTTTACACTTATGTATGATTGGTATCGTTAGATTCTTTCTGCAATAAATATTATGCGGCAGAGAAGCCCAGATGTTGTTCAATCATACAAATTGAAAAAAATAAATACCGTGCTGCTGTGTACAAAAAGATTTAAACCCAGTAAAAAATTTTTTTTTTAAATCCCCATAACCCAGTGTAAAAAAATTGCACTTTTTATTGACAGACTCTATTACAAGATGAATGCATTTTTAGGTTTCAACACATCTCTCTGAGAGATGCTGATAGATGTAACAGTTGGAAAGATGAGAGAAATGTTAGATCATAAAAAAGTAAGCTAACAGCACAAAAAGTGGAAAATAGTAATAATAGGGGTGTTGCTCTTGACAATGTTACACAAAATGGAATGGATATCTGCAAGTTCACAAGTATAATTTTAAGCCTCGTGTCCGAAAAACTGCCTTCTCTGAATATGTTTTCAGCCAATGTAATAATTCAGTTGCTAAGGAACTGCCCACTACCCTCATGTAATAATTAAAAACTTTGCATTTAACATTTCAAGTGTTCTCTTTTCAAATCAAGCCATTTGCTTTAATAATACCATAGATACTTCTCTTCCTGTAATTCCCTAGTTGTATTCTCAGTGCACATCTATGACAATATAGTAAAGGAAGGCTTGCAGAATTACCTTAGTGATTGTTGCTGACATAATATAGTTTCTAATGATATTATTTTTAGTGGTAAGCCTTGAATATGCTTACGCTTTCTTGGGTGTTTATTCGCAGACTGCTTTAAATCCCCCCAAAACTGCCTCTACAGAAAATAAACTCTGTTTATCTCTGAGGAAACTAGACCAAAAATGATTTTCTGACATTTTTCATAGACTCATGCATACATGAACAAAACATATTTATTCAACTGCAGTGAGATCAGTTTACAATCACAACCTTATCTGACATGCATGGTTCTTGGCTTTGGAACGAAAGAGTGGCAACATAAAAATCCCTAAACATACTGCATGGAGAAAAGGTCACTTCATACTGGTTATTCTCTGACTGTAAAGACCAATAGCGGCTGGTGGAGTTTTCTCCGGGGGGGGACTGATGTATACCAAAAATCAACATATACCACACACCAGTTTATTTATATACTGGTGAATATTTATATATTTATCACACTGGTGATAAGTATATAAGTATATTTATAAACTGGTGTATATTTATACACCAGTATATTTATATGAATGCCAACAACGAAAAGCATTATAACAACACTTTATACAAAGCAAACATAATTTAATGTACACGTTTATTTCTTGTACACATATCTTGCCATTCTGAGGATTTGTGAAAGCAAATCTTTGTTTTGCATGGTCCAATATGGTTTCACAACTCTAAAGAAAAATATAAGTATAATAATTGAGAAGCTATTATTCAGCTTTATATTTATTTTAATATATAAAAACTATTTATTTTCTGAGAATGTATGTATTCAAAAGCAACTATGCAAAATAACAAACACCTAGAAAAAGCACACTATATTATATCATTTTCCATGGGTTACGTGGGTTCTTTTAGATCCTCGTTAATTTACATCACTCGTGAAACTGTGCTAACTTAAACCTGACCAGCTATAACCACTCCCTTCTCCATTTCCCCAAAAGTGGCGATCCCAATGATCAGGGACCCAGCTGCAAGCAGTTACTAAGTTTAGCTGCTTCTGCAACTTTTTACATGTTGTGTAGGAAACTATGGTAAACGAACCATAGCAAACTGCTAATTTTGATGCAGCCACATGAATGTTTATCATAGTGATAGGCCAATATATCTGTTGGCCGATATTTTTGTATGATATTAGAGCTTTTCTAAGTATTGGTATCAGCAAACACATGTAAGTATTCATTGATCCAGTTTATGATACATGCAGACTATGGCTTCAGATCCAGTTAAGCACATGCATTGCTACTCCCTTCATTTGTAGGTACCATAACAAGAAAAAAAACAGGAGTCTGATGCAATTAATCATGAATTTATAGACAATTGCTATATGTAAACCACCAGGTAACAACCCCTTAAAAACAAAAGATAAATGTGCTGATTGGTATTGGACCTGATTCTGACTACAATGTTTGGCTATGTTCACACAGCAGGTCTTTAAGCTAAATACTGATTCTTGTTTCTTAAAATCTTTTTGACTTGGTCGTTCATACAACTAACTAAATCATACTTCTCTTTAGAAGATACAGGAGACTAAAGAGGCACATTGCAGTGCTCTGTTTGTGAGAGTATTAATGGTTTGACTGGTGTTTGGAGTGTTCAATAGAGCTCTACTGGATGCTGGGATTTCTGTTCCATCGAATCTTTGAATAATGGAAGCCAACGGTATCATGACTTATTATAATAAAAGGAAGCCAATAACAAATATCACACAACCATTAACAGCTTTTAACAGCGGCAGTCAGTGGCTGCTGTTATAGAGAGTCGATGTGGATGGGTAGTGTAGTGGGGTCCAAGGCAGTGATATAAAAGTGTGCCTAAAGGTACCATTACTGCAATGACTGCAAATATTTTGAAAACTATCTGATATGTATCCGATTTACTACCACATATGAAAGCTGCAAAATCAGATTTTTTTTTCTTTCAGAGGGGAGGGGTGAAAAGATCGGAATTTGGCAGCAAAAATATCAAAATCAAATTTGGTTTGTATTTATCTGCTGTGTTAACATTACTTATAGTCTATCCACAGATCAGTACTCCATGGTCGTGTGTCAATGAACGTTATATTTCATAGAAAGTAACAACCCTGAAAATGTTGCGCACTTGAAGATAAAATGCTAAGTGATTTATGAATAACAAGATACATGTCATTTGCTTTTGTCTCTTTTTTGCACATTTTGGTGTTTCCGACATTAATCTTTTTTCCACATTAGAAAAACTATTGGGGAAGGAAGAAAACTCTATTTCCTTCATTCAAGAAAATAAGGCCCGGTCTTGCTGTATATGGAAATATATGTAGTTTTCCATATTACATCAACTATCTACCAACTGGTTTCTGAAAACATTGTGAAAACAAGCTATTATTTAAACTGTCTGACATTCAGATTTTGTATAATGAAACTTATATTAAAACATACTACCAAATACCACATCTAAGCTATTCTATGCATTGTGAGATTGCATTTAATGGTTAAATTTCACAGCTACCAATGACCCATGTCAGCATTTAAATACTGTAAAAGGAAAAGTAAATTTTTTTGTCGGCTAATAAGCCAAAAAAAATACCTTTTGCATGGTAATGTCATGCCTTTACATTTTACATTCAACGGCCAAAGCATTTCAGAATTAGTGCATTATAACAAAATTAAGAAGACTGGGCAAAATGGTATCTGATGTTGAGTTATTAAGCAAAAACAAACTGCTGTCCAAAAACAAGCAAAAGGTAGGTGGATAAAAACTTTTTACAGCCTTGTAATCTCAATAGATGGGTTTTTGTTTAGGTAAATAACTTATGGTTAAAATGTATGGTACAGTGTTCTTCCAGTAACATGCCTGTCTGATTCAGAGAGATCATAACATGTTTTTGATTAAGAGCAGAATAAAGCAATAAAATATGAGGATAAACTTACTATGATTTACAACAAAGCAACAATAATCTAAACTTCATTATGGAAAATTAGATTAAAGCTATGTTGACAAAGGAAATAAAAAAATAGTGACCAGGAAGAATTCATTATGAGGTAAGGTTTATTTCAGTTTCAACAAGTTTTATTGCTTTACTTTGTTTCACTAAAAGGGTAAACAGAGCTTTGAAGTAGGAATTCCCTAATTCTCTAATGTAAACAGAATTTAGAATTTGGATATGTTAATATCAAGAGAGTTTATTTAGAAATTTAATTAGAGCTAGATTAAAGAGATTAGACCAAATAGATCTAATTGCATAAATAGCGTAATTGATATTTGAAAGCATTTTACTTTATGCTTTCACCTCGTGAGGAAACCACTTCTGTTCTCACTTTGAATGTTATATCAAAACATCCTTTACTTTAAAAAATAACATCAACCCAGTTTTAATTAACACTGCATTTCTGTCCGTAGGGGATGTTTATAAAACACTAAGCAGTAATGACTCAACAAATGGTTAAAAAAAATAATAACCCCAATTGGTTTTCTTTCGAAACAAACATGTGGTAATAAAAAACATACTTTGCTTTTGACAGTTTGATTTAAAATGTTGTGAACATGAACATTTGGAGAATGCCCTGAAGATGCAGACAGTTGACACGGGAAGAGACTGCGTCATTTGTGTTTCATGGGTAACTCACCAAACGCTGTCGGGAGGTGAAGAGTCTGGAGGTCACCTTTCAGCAGAGTGCTTTTTGGTGTCTAAGCTGTCAACTGGGGGTTCACGATTATCCTCCTTCGGCCGGATCATAGCGTCTTGGAAGAAGACAGGGAGTAAGGAAGAGAGAAGATGAAAACAGAGGTAAAAAGGATGTGTCCAAATTAGGAAGAGGAATATCCATAGCATTGCTGCATTCGAAAATGAAGTCAAACATCAACAAAAGAAAAGTGCTGTGACACTTTAAACCCTCCCTTTGAGCCAAATTGGCTGCTCTTTCTCACTATCCATTTTTCTCAAAAAGCCGTGCAAAAATAAAAACATTAGGGAACAAAATATTAATTGTTTTAGTTTTTTTTTTTAATCAGCTTTTTTGCTCTTTGAAATATACCTTTAGAATGCACTAATGCAGAAACCTTTATTCTTTGTTTATCCAATGCATTTTAATCAAGGATCCACTGGAGGTATGTGACTACAATTCCCCACTGGATAATATCTGTCAAAGGGAAGAATGGCATGTCTTCATGTCTAGGGAAGTGTTCATGCCTTATATAGTCGGGGTCTACTAGAGTTGCCTGCTGCACATAGCTGGATGTAGCCAAGGGCTAAGGAAGGAGACCTTTTGAGAGCTCATTAAAACAGTCTTCAAGTCTTGAGAGACAAATATGAATGCACTACAAAAGAATGAGCTTGCCATTAAAAATAATCAGAGGTAATGGAGCTGTTCCCAGACTGAAAGTACTCTTAATAAATACTGGAAGCCGGTTTAAATTAAAAAAGGCCATAAAGTGGAAGATGATGGAGGTTAGGGCTTGATACGAATGCAGAAATAACTCATATACCTTTAAGAAAATGAATGTTGTAGATATTGCGTTGCAAGCAAAAACTTTTTACTTAAGATCCGGTAGGAAATATGTCCTCTAAAGGATACCAACATGACATTTATTAGCAAATATAATTCTTTTTGCATCTGTTTTTTATCAATGACATTTACACTAGCTGCATACAGACAAAAAGAAAAGCCTGTAGAATTTAAAGACATCCTTAACTGTATCCTATTTTTAAGGCATCCTAACAGCATGGAGTGCTTCATCTTAATGCTAACAACCTTGTTTGACCTATCAGCTTTAAAGTTAAGCTGGGTCTGCTGGGGCCTTCTCGAGTGAGCCATGAGGAGGACTCAGCAAGACAATTACCATTTTCAAGATTCTACTTTAAATCTGTAGCAAGACTTGATCTGAGCCTCAAATGACACAATGTATTCAAAAAGTGATGAAGACGTTCCCACAATTTTATGAAACGGTAATTACCCAGAGAGAGACAGCAGAGACTTGTCATATAGAGCGTATGAAGGACTCTTGTGTAGAGGAAAGAGATAAGATGTCAAAATGTTATGTAAGTTTTAGATCCCATCTCACAATGAATTATTCTAAGGAAGAAAACTCTAAAGCTCTCAACTTTAAAAGCTATTAGAAGTAATATGATTAAAGACAGTTTCTTTTACATGTAAGAAAAAGCTTGAGAGAGCACAGAGTTTCTTTATATTATATTTCCACAATACCTTTGCAGAAGAAAGAAAAAGGTTGGCACTGTATACAAATTAAAAATGGGAAGAAAAAGGGATCTTGTTTTTAATTACAGACATTCACATAAATACAAACATCCAAAATAATTTTTCAATGAATATAGCAATGGGACTCAATTTTGGTTCAATCTTAGGTCAAAAGAAGGTCTACTGGATGTACTACTGTATGTATCAACAAATCTGATCCAGTATTCTTTGTGTCAAATACTGACATCTTTCTTGGATCAGATACTATGCCAAGACCTCCAGTTCATCCACTGACACAGGGCTCATGGTCCTACTGTAGGTTGCTAGAGATCATATTTTCTATGATTATACTGTTTGTTCCATAATTAAAATCTAAATGCCAAAAATACAGTCCAAGTAATCAGTATTTATATACAGTACACATTAACATTAGATTTTCTACATTACTTTAAATTTAGATTGCGAGGAAATTCCTATAAACAAAATCTTGGCCCTCTGTTCCTGTATTATACTTGTTGGCATTTGTTTAATATATCATCACATCTTTTACAAGGCAAGAGGCAATACAGTGTTAAAGTCATTAAGAAACAACAACTAAGTAAGCTACAGAAAGATTTTTTCATACACATTCTTTTTTATATGATATCTGGGGTCTTTCGGGGGGTGTTCCAGTAGAAATTTCTGCCCAACATGTAGAAATTTAAATTTTAGAGGACAAATGGTATCCATCAGGAGATTTTGTTAAGCAGCATGAAAGCAGGGAGACTGATAGAAATACTCATTAACACAAATTGGGCTGAAATGTGACTTAAAAAAGATTAAACAAGGGGAAAAGACTTTTAAAGTTATAGGGAAGTCATATTTAAATGTCAAATCATTCTGGCTTAAACATGTATATAAATGTACTCTTTATCAGACTATCTTGTCCAAAAATTTAGAAAATTTCAATTTAAAATACAATCCTTTCTTCAAATCTGTTTTTTTTTTTTTTTTTCCATTATTTTATGTAGGTTATTTAGTTATGAGTCAGCTTGTACATCTAAATTCGGCCAATCAAAAATTAACAGTCATCGGTCAATCAATTTTTTTTCGGTCATAACATCTTGATCCATATGTCGCAGCTAAGATAAGCAATGGTTGAAATAAGAAATAAGAATAATTTACTTTACCACTGAGTTAGGTCTCAGTGTTCACAGGGATGGCCAACCTGCCAATCACTTTCACTATATTCACTCGTGTAAAGTCGGGCACCACTCGGGAGAATTCGGAAATGCAACGGTTGGAACAGCCTTTTCCATGCGACTTTAAGGACCAAAGGAAGCAGACTAGAATACACAGGACGCAGAATACAATAATAACTTTTTTGATTAAATAAATACATATCTATTTAACCTTTTCATTTCCTGGTCAATTAGGCTGTGCATACATGTATGCACAGCCTAATTTCAGCTCTGCTTGCTAATAATTAATGCCAATTTGAATGAAACACTTATTTTCCATATGTACTGTGTGACTGCAGCTGTATGAAGGAAATCTCTGTAAACTTGGAAAGTTTTTTTTTTTAGATTTTTTTTTTTTTTTAATGAACCTGGAGAGATAACAGCAGTAGTTTTAAGTATTAAAATAAGTTGTACTCATCCCCAAACATTATGCAAGTACAAAAAAAAAAAAAAAAAACAGAACTAAATGTTGGGCCAAAAGCTGTTTCAATTACAAACATATTGGTGAAGATTTCCCATGAAAATCTAAAGAATTGATTTGGAAAGCAACCACACAAAAAATAACACAAAGCTTGTCTTCGACAAATATCCATAAAGTTTAGGAAATGTATTAGATGGAATAATTTGGATTTCTAACACTTCTAACTTCTGACTTTTTGGGGGGATTTAATTTGGTGACGTACCAAAGTGTTTCCCTACATAATGTTGAATTTAACTAACTAACTTGGTATTAGATGTGTCCTTTTCATCATACACTATAGGCTCTATTATTCAGTATGAATGTCTGTCTTCTGTTCTTTTTTTTTCCAAATCAGCAGATAAGACTGAAAATTACTTTAAATTATTCCCATAAAAAATGTGATATAAACTACGGCAGCAACTATCAAAACACAGCCGGCTGAACTGTGCATATCAAACACAACCAGAGCAAAGGCCGTGAAATCACTATATTTCTCTACTTTCTCCGCATAGAGCTTATCTCATCCAGCCTAAGTATAATATAATATAAATCTACTAGAAAAGTTCTTAGAATTTAGCAGATGGAAAAGCCATTGATATTCCCCTTTTGCTGACAGTTTATTAAACTTTCTATGACGAACAGATTCTTTTAATAAGTAATTTTGATGAATGTGTTTTTGTTAATGGAAGTTCCATTTATGATTGCAAATGGAAAAAAAAAATTACTTTACTGTAATTTGGAATGGCAAATGAAAAAAAAAAAAAACTAAAATGCAAAAATAAACACTACAACTGACTCTGTAAATAATAATATGTTTGGGCTTTGAAGGTATCTTTGGGCCTCAGTTTGATGAAGTGAAGGAGTATATTTTTTCTCTATAACTCTGTCTTGTAGGAACATGTAGGAGCAAAAGTTTGTGTGTGTGTTAGAGTAAATTAAAAACACTAATACAAACTGAAAGACAGGAGGAAACGGACAGAAACTGAGTGTTTCTTACTGCTGAACTTTGGCTGAGACTCAGCCAAGGTCATCCTCTTACTTATGACATACATGGAGTCAGACTGATCCTCTCACTTGGATGCTCTCCATCTGCTCCCGCTGATAAGACTGACTACTCCACTAACAGCATGCAGACACCACAGCTCTGCTTTGTGACTAACATACTGCAATTACACCAAATTTATATACTTTTCTTGATTAAAATGATTCGGGATTTTGGTTTCCATCTAGGTGATAGTGAGTTTTTTTCTCAGAATTTATTTATTTTATTTTTTTTTTTACATGCTTGTGCAGAGGAAGCCCAGCGAAAATCTTAGTCTGCTATTTAGTTTATGTATAACGACCAGTGGACTGCACTGCTTGCGTTCAGCAGCCAGAACAGCTTAACTTAAATTATAGAACCTTAACAAGGAAACACAGATTGTTAAGAGTCCAAAAGATATTTAACTGCTTTTCCTCCATTTTATAGACATTGGGAGAGGTTAATGTGTGCAGATGGCTCCTACTGTCCAACACGTCGCTTTTTAAGCTATAGCTCTTGTTAAAATTCATGAGAGGAAAAAGTGTATATCCCTGTCACTCCAGTGGGGATGCAGAGGATTGTTCTTTAAACCCTCTGTCTTGTTGCACTGCTTGAAATGTAGATATGGCATGAATAAGGACATAAGCTCCAACAGCATGAGAAATGCGACTCCTTAAAGAGAACAAGAAGCCGCCTTGCTTTGGGGATGTTTTGAACAAATGTGAGATGATTCTACAAGGTTATGGTGCTTAAGACTTTGACATTAAAATAATAAGGAGCCATCTTAGAATATTTGCAGTTTGCCTGTTTTAGAATGGCTGTCAAAATGCAGACACCCCTATTAA